ACGCTCTTTGCAAATTAGATACTCTTGCACCAATTATCTAAGGGGATGTGGATGTGGCCGGATGTGGCCAGCTGTTGCAAGGCTAAATTTCTGTCCTTATTCAATATACCCTCAGTTTCCAGTGGTATTCCAATTTTCACGTCCTACCTCACTGTCGACCTCCTATTGCAAGACCTACCTATTGTATTTAAAATTCATGTGTTATCGTCATCAACATGCATACAATATTTGCCACTGGACATAAAGCAAACAACAATCAATCAACTCCATAAATTATTCCATGTACATAGTACACCAAGACAAGATCTTGTAAAATGCTATAATGTAAAATTTCCATTAAAATCACTCAATAATAGTGCAAACTTGTTTATGGTTTGCAATTTACTACATAACTCAACACTTATAAAAAAAATAATTGTATTATGGTTCTTATCTACGGTTTTATTGCAATTTATGATTTATGATTTTGTCAGGCGATTATAAAACTAAGAAGCGTAAAAGGTTTTTTCGAGGTGTTTGTTTATGCTACATATAGACGTGAAAAGGGAAAGACGGACGACTAAAATAAAAGTGATTGTTTTCATTTAATACATTGTATTTCAATTTAAGAACGATGATCAATATTGCGATAATATCTCATCTATGCACGTTTTGATCGAGCCACTCAAACCTACATATAAAAAGAAGATGTGGTATGATTGCCACTGAGACAACACTCCACAATAGACCAAATGACACATAGTTTGACAACTATAGGTCACCGTACGGCCTTCAACAATGAGCAAACCCCATACCGCATAGTCAGCTATAACAGGCCCCGAAATGACAAATGTAAAACAATTCAAACGAGAAAACTAACGGTCTAATTTATGTACAAAATAATGAACGAAAAACAAATATGTAACACAGCAACAAATCACCACTGAATTGGGACAGGCACATACAGAATGTGGCGGGGTTAAACTAGTTAGATGGCGCCAATCCCTCCCCCTAACCTGGGACAGTGTTGTAACAGTAGAACATATGAACAAACTATAAAAATCAATTGAAAAAGGCCTAACTCATTAGATGGATACAAATAGAAATACATCTAACAAAAACACAAAGTGGACGTGGACGGGTACTTGTACATCCCAACAACAAAAAGACACTTAGTACAGATCTGAGAGTACTCGCATTTACTGACAGCTACACGGTAGGTATAGTGTCCGGCTAGGATCGTAGTTTTTCGAGTGATTTGATCGAGTTTTTTCGAGTGTGACCACTTTTTTTCGAGTGAATATGATAAAAAATGTAAACAAACAGACTTCCTTTCTGACAAGACGTGATATAGAAGCTTAAGTTTAATATACAAAGATATACAAGGTGTGTTAGTATTTGAGATAAAAAGATATTATCAATCCGACATTATTTTTCGTTAAAAATGCTTTTATTCCAAAAAACAGAATTAAGCCATTTTTATACAAATACAAATGCAAATGTCGATGGAAATGCATACAGGGAATCCATATATCCTTAGATATACAGTCACTTTTACAAAAATTCTTGTTGTTGCATTGAAAACGACATTTTGAGACTAAATTCATTTCTATGTGTTCGGGTTTTTTCGAGAGCAGTCTGGGCTTTTTCGAGTGCGTCCGTGTTTTATCGAGTGATTTTACAAATTTCCTATAGCTTAGAATGTTATGTGTCAGTGTATTTACGTTTAAAAACAATAAAAAAGGGTTCAAATTGTGTACTTTTTAAGGCACGAAACTAATGCATTCATCAGTTTGATAAAGGTGTACAGTAACTAACACTTACACTTTATAAACAAGTATCGTTCATTTGTATATATTGTTGTTTGTCACATCTTATAAATTACATGTACAGTATAAATTCATGATGTCAACAATCTAATGTAAGCATAGACAGTTTGGATTGGGACGTACGTACAAATAGTGAATTAAGCTGATGAATTATAACTATATATGAAATTCAGTTCAGATTTTATTTACAATGGGAATAAAAACTGGTCGGATTAAGTGTGTGAATGTTTTTTGTTTTTTTTTTTTTGTTATTAATGAATTTTTTTTTTTGTGGGGGCAGGGGGCATGCCTCTTTTAGTAGAATATTTTTTATTACATAACATTTTTCTGATTCTTCTCTGCTGTCCAGTAGGTTTCTTACTCTGTTTTTAATAAACAGTTGCGCCATGGGCGCATGATACGCCCGTCGCGTTTTCAAAGAATAAAGTTCATTCTCTTATAGTTGTGGCTTATTATATATTTCTTGCATGAATAGAGTTAATTTGATTTGCTTATCCAGCATCATAAGACGACTTTACGGCATTTCCATTGGCTATTCGTTAGGTTATTGATGACCATCAAAGGTTACGACGATATACATTTCATGTGCAAAATACTAGACCAACGATTCGCGGAATTTTTGATTTAACACAATGAGTGTTGACCATACGACAAATAGGTTTAACAACTTGTGAGAATGGGATATCGCTTGATATCAACTCTCGTTATTTAATTTAAGTAAGTAAGTAAGTAAGTAAGTAATTTCTTCTCGTTATTTTATTCAAATAGTAATAATAAACTCGCCGGAGGCTCGTTTATTATTATATTGAAATTAAATAACTCGAGTTGATATCAAGCGATATCCATTCTCACTCGGTATGGAACCTATAAATAATTTCTCAATGTCATATCAAAAATTTATAAAAAAAAAACTAAAAGGGAGGTTAATTTAATCTATATAAAGCAGTCACCAAAGATTCATTAAAACTCCTCAAAGCACTTTAAAAATATTGTCCGAAAACTGTAAAATCACCCCTTTTTAGCTCTCCTGGTCCCAAAGGGTCAAGTGAGCTTTTCTCATCACTTGGCGTCCGTCGTTGGCCGTCGTCGTCGTCCGTTAACTTTTTCATTGGGTTGTCCCGTGATGCTAGGATATCTACGTCGAGAGTTATAATTGCTGTTGAACAGATCTCAATCTGAGCAGCTTAATAACTGCATTTCAATGTTAATGATAGCGGATCATGAGCAACGCAATCTTTTTTTTTTTTACAAAATCCTTCTCCTCTGAAACTTATGGACCAAGTTCATTATAGAAAGAGATAACTGTAAACAGCAAGAATGTTCAGTAAAGTAAGATCTACAAACAAGTCACCATCACCAAAACAGAGAATTTTGTCATGAATTATATTCTTTTCTTCAATGTAGAAGATGAGTCTTAGGAAGACGAAACGCGCGTCTGGCGTATTAAATTATAATCCTGGTAGCTTTGATAACTTTGTTTTAATATGCACTGCAGCACATAGACCAAGGTGAGCGACACATGCTCTTTAGGGCCTATAGTTTGTTTAATAAAATCCCAAAACTCGGAAACATAAAATCTAAAATTTTCAAAATTCTAAAAGGAGGATGCCTCAATAGATATAAACAATTCACCGAAGTTTATGTAAATTGGTTACCGCGTTTTTGAGTTATTGTCCGACATGCTGACAACGGACGGTTGGACGGACGGACAGACAACGGTATACCATAATACATCCCCGTATAAAAACTCCGGGGTTCACCTCGAAAAAAATTCTTAACTGTGACAACAAAAGTACCATAAAATGAAGTTGAAAAGATTATGAGTCCCCTGCACTATGATCTAAGGACCTTTTAATAAAGAATCCAAAAATTTCTAATTTAATACTGGAAAGTTGTGGTAGAATGTTTTCCGAACAGAAAGTTTGCATTAAATTGAAAATGGAAGTTAATTTCAGTCAACGTAGTAATATGTTTTGGTTACTTATTGTGAATATATGATATTTTCATTCATTAAATTACATTTATAAACTAGAAAAGTCATTTTTTAAAGTCAAGAATACATTTTTTCTTATCAAAATTTTTGTTAAAAAACCCGGACCATTTGTTTAAAAACCCGGACGGTTTCACAGTTCCTCTCGAAAAAACCCGGACAATAACAAACACTGAATTTAATGGTTAAATACAAGAAAGTTGTGTTTCTTTGTTACTCAAAACATGTATAGTATTCAAAATAAGATGGGTAGTCATGTAAAAGACTATTTTAATTACGAATTAGCAGTTAATTGACCTGATCGCATGTTTTATCACTCGAAAAAGCCCGATCTACACTCGAAAAAAATGGACAGATTCACTCGAAAAACCACGATCCTAGCCAGACACTATACCTACCGTGAGCTAGTTCAAAACCAATAACAACTGATAAAAACAAGAATGTGTCCATAGTACACGGATGCCCCACTCGAACTATCATTTTCTATGTTCAGTGAACCCTGAAATTGGGGTCAAAACTCTAATTTGTCATTAAAATTAGAAAGATCATATCATACGGAAAATGTGTACTAAGTTTCAAGTTGATTGGACTTCAACTTCATCAAAAACTATAATGACCAAAAACTTTAACCTGAAGCGGGATAGACGGAATAACCCCTTAATTTTATAAAACTATCCGATGGTCTTATTTTAATGCTAAAACATTATAATAAATAAATAATTGAATGATATAATGCCATTTAATCGGTCCGTTTTCAATGCAATTAGGTAAAGTTCTGTTAGTTGTCTATATCAGTCTGAGTACTGTCTTTAACTATCATTTGAGTTGAATTTATTTTGAGTCGTCCAATTCAGGGGAATTAGGCTTCTGCAAGTGTTTTTTGTGTACTTTTCTTATGTTTTTGCGGTTTGTAAGTTGGTAAAAGTTCAATGATTAAGTTAATATTGTCAATGACATTAAAAGACCTCCTCACAAAAAGGGCTGTTCAAATCCCCTCGCCCTACGGGCTCCGGGATCTCAACATCCCTTTTTGTTCGAAGGTCTTTTAATATCAATATTAACTTATCATTGAGCTTTTACTATTACAAATAGCATAGTTTAATTGTTCTTTTTTCAATGTAAGATCGTGATTAGGAAATATTTTTTTATCAGTATAGTTACGACGTATATAAAAAGTTTTAAGCACAAAGGATAAGATTCAATCATACAAGAGTAAACAATGTATATACTGTTCAAAAAAAGAAACGCATAGCTCGGATGAAATTTTCAAAATGCAAAATATATATTTTACAAGGTAATATGAAACAGTCAATTGCATCTTCGAATTTTGACAGCTAAGTTTTAAACTTAAATTTCCCGTTCTTTGGATTTGGACTCGCTAAAAGTGCATATGACCTTTTTCGCCGCGAAATTTTGCTAACGTTTTTCACAAGAATTTTGTGGTCAACTCAACTGTTACTCTTTTGCGCATATAAGGACAAAGTTTGAAGATTTAATTCATCACAACGTTAAAACGCTGCCATGCCAAGGTTGGACCCTGCTTATCGCCCGTATCCAGGCCGGAACCTAAAGTGAAGTAGCAATAACTGAAAATGTTAACCAGAGCACATTTCGCGACTTTGGAACAGATACCAGCAGACTAAGGACCGCCCGAGTAGTAGACAACCTCGCCTAACGACTTCTTGACAAGATCGCTACATCCGGGTATTTCATCTACGGATCGAACCGTTGCCGCAACAGCCACTGCAGTTGGGATACCTGGATTGAGAAGAATCAGTTCACAAACAGTCCGCAATCGACTGCGACAGCATGACATTAGACCCAGGAGGCCGTTACACAGACGGAATAGAGTCCGATTGTACAACAGATTTAGGGGCTGGACATTCCGCAACCGTTGCAGAATCTGGTTCAGTGATGAGTCCCGTTTTATGCTTCAGAAAGTGATGGAAGAACTCGTGTCTACCGGCGCATGAATGAACGTTTTGCTTCTTCGTGTGTCCAAGTAGTGGACAGCTTCGGTGGAGGAAGTGTCATGATGTGGGCGGCTATCTCTAATGACCGTAAAACGGAATTGGTTCATCATTTTCCAGGTAATTGAAAAACTCAAAGGTAAATTCTCCAACCTCACCTTATGCATGTTATTGACCGACAGAGGGAGTTATTCCAGCAGGACAATGCCTCACACAGCGCGTTTAACAATGGACTATTTTGAGCAGAATAACATCAATGTGCTACCTTGGACTTCCAAATCACCGGACTTGAATCCTATTGAGCAGCAATGGGACCAACTGGATAAACCCGCCAGCGTCAACCCCCACCTCAGGCCCTTTATCAGCTCCGACAAATGTTGCAACAAAAATGGCGACCAATTCCAGACAACAACATTAGAACATTGATAGAACCCGTGCCGAGGAGATGCGTAGCAGTCTTACCAGCGAGAGGGAGTCATACACGGTACTAACTGTAATGTCACCGGAAGTTACTATAATTGTGATAAATTGACTTTTACTCATCGATCTCGAAGAATTGGCTGTCCTCTTCTCAATCAAACACGTTTTGAATGAATATATGTATTACTTGTTGTAAAATTTCCATTCAAAATACATGTATCAAAATTCTTACAATCCATTATGCGTTTCTATTTTTGCAGAATATAGTTAATTTTATTTACATAGAGAATAAAACACACATATATATCATACCGCATCCTTTCGGATGAAAACCATATATACTAATACAAATCATGATCAATAAAAATACAAGTATTCAATTAATTCCCGAGGTGAGTAAAATCATACTCTAATGTATCCTTAATGGAAGTCACTTATTGACAAACATATAAGCTGTCAAAAATATAGAATGAAAAAATGACATTTAAAGAAAAAAGCAAATCACAGGGAGATCGGAAACCCATCATTAAAAGTATCTGGATGATAAACAATTTAAAAAGGTATCCATGTCACTCATGTCGGGAAATGACCTTAATGATAAAAAAACAATGTAACGGTATTTTTTTCTTAATAAAAGTGTCTATCGGAATGACCTATCTATTGAACCCTTCAAACTTTACCCGTGGACGCATCCGGTCTCTCACTTTTTTGGAGTTTTTTTAACCTTGATATGCATCTTTTTGAACATCCGGAATGTATTTTTGCCTCTAATTTAAGGAGAGATATATTTGTATGTTGTGTACTGATGAAGAATACAGAGCCATAGACTGGTATAATTCAAACAATAAGCACAGGCAATCAATAAAAATACAATACATTGCAACTGATTTTTATGTTTAACTTTTCTGAATGGAAATTGATAATTACTATTTATTTTGATGGACCAGATTTTAAAGTCGATTAATATAAGGACAATTACACTAGTAGAAATTAATAAAATAGCATAGACTAAATAAATGATAACGAAATGCATACATTACAAGCCTTATAATTATAGTCGTCTTTCATAGAAAAGGGTACTTATATTGATTTCAAGTTTTGAAGTCAAATGTCGTCTAAGTGTAAGTAGTTTATTTCAAAGTCTAGCCTTTGTAATTGTACCATATTCTATTTTCGAAATATCGGAGAATATCTATTGAATTTTACATAACTTACAGTTGTGTTATCTAAAGCTTTCCACTGCCATTTTTATATTAGAAAAAAAAAATGAATATTCTATACTAGTATTACATTTCTGCACTGATGAGGCTAAGGTAAGAGAGATAAACCAATTTAGCGTGAATAAAGATAAAAAAAACAATCCCTAAGATCTACATCCGCCTCTTTTTGCTGCACAGGTTAATATATAAAGAACCACTTGATACAACTTAAGACAATTATAATACTCAATTGCGTATTGTTCATCTGAAAAATTTTATGGAAGGAAATCGTTAACGGAATTTTATAAAACTGATACCTGGTTTGTTCTTAGTTAAGAACATCCTTTTCGTTGACTACGGTTCAGTTGTGCAAGCAAGTATAACGACGCTAAGAAGACCTGTAGCTTACCACATAAACAGTCAGTTGGCGAATGGCGTTACAAAATAATATGGTAAGTCCGCAGCAAATGAAAAGTGATGTAGAAAAAAAACATAAAACGGTGACAGCAAGGATTGATTGCCGAGTTGATATTTCCATTTATTTCGAAACTCTTACACTTTGGAAAATTAGCAGGTACGTTTAATTGGCTTTTTGGTGACTCATTGATAATCATGCCCATACCATTGGTGTTATGTAGGTCAATATGGCAGTGAAAAAACCAAACACCAGGGTTATCTGCCTTGAATCGAATAATAACATATCCACCTGTGGGTATAATAATCGTGTCTTTCTGAGGCGGATTGTTCCAGTTTAAATCGGGATGTCTTCCATTTGCCCAACTTTCATTTCTCCATTTTGCGTCAGAGCAAAAGTTTTTACTATCAGGACAAACAATGTCGATGTTGTCCTGCCCACCATTTGGCATAAGTTGTCCGTCACTGTCGTAAGTAGCGAACACCATTTTCAGGACGTAAAACGAATGTCCATGCAAATGAACAGGATGTGACCAGTTGGCACCTCCACCTATATTTGTGATAACAAACTGATAAACTCTGTCTTTGTTATCGTTGTCAATGGTTACGGCATATGTGCACTCACAAATTGTTGATGCGTTACAAGCATCACAATTATAGTCTACCAAGTTCGGTTCAGCATATGCAGCAACTGTTGGCGGTAGAAACTGGTGTCCATTTACTGATCCAGGTGTATAACCGTCCTCTCCGGGAAATGCAAAATTGAAAAACATTTCGACTACCTCGTTTGACTTTACTTCATTTGGGTTTGAATTCGGATCGATTGAAATCACATCATTAAAGGAGACGCACTTTCTGTTTTGTTGGCTAGAAAATTGTTCAAATGGACAGTTAAAAACTCTACACGTACTACCAGGGCTATCACATGTACGTGGGGTGACCCTTGGGGGATTTGGATTGATATCTTCATTTTTATAATGAATAATAGCTTCAGCTGCATGATATTCATTATCGGAGTATACTTCCAATGTCTCGGCAACCAGTAAATATGTACTAAGGGGCTCGTCAGCATTTAACAAAAAATCTATTCTTTCACCAGGATGAATTATAAATGATTCTACCTCCTTTTTATCAATTTCAAATCCGTCAGAAGCTTCTATAAAAATTGGTCTATGTCCCTCAACAAAAACTCGAAACGGATATAAGGTGGCGGCACTTATTACTCTAAATCGATAGTCTTCATTTTGCTCCACTTCAAAGCGTGTCAATGGAACTTCGTTGTGTTCTGTCGACGAACTGTAAAACCGGCCTCTCCCATTAATCAGACCGGAATGACATTTAAAACGACTATATCGTGCGCCAGAGGGATCTTTGGTTTCGGCAACCGGTTTACCAGAGCTGTCGTAACTACCCCAAAGCATTTTTTGGTACAAGGCATCTTCATCGTCATCATGATTCCAATCCTGTATAATAGCTACAAAAACCTTGTCCCCTTCTTGTGGCAACGAAACTTTTTGGCCCGGTGTTGGTATTATTATCAGTGGACCGTATAATCCCATTGTCCTCTGGTCCCCTATATGAGCATGATAAAAACTAGACCCGAATGGCTTTGCATTGAATTTGTATGTATAGTTTTGGCCAGGTAAAATAGGACACTGTGTAACAAAAGCAACACCATCTGACCAAGGGCTTTTCTTTTGATGCATCCCATGCCAGTGAATAGTAGTGCTATCTGTATGCATCAGATTTCGTACATGAACTATCACGTCTTGGCCTTCCCTAGCTGTTATGGTAGGTCCAGGGAATCTTCCATTGACAACAATAACAATCCGTGACTTGTATCCATCGGCTAGAATGAACTTATCTTCAAGTGATCGTTCAAACTGATCCCCATTGTCAAATCTAACAGCCTTTCCTTTATCTGGTTTGAGTAAGACTGCCGGTTGACCTTCTCCTCTATACATCATTGTTAAAGCATGATCTATTGTTAGGTAACATTCACATGTTGAATCACCAAGTCGACATGTGTTACTTTTGCATGCTTCTCCTGTCCCAAGTAAACGGTCATACCACTCTTTATCTGTCGTTTGTAACATTGCTTGTTCTACTGTCAGAAGGACAACGATTGCAAAATATCTAAAAAAAAAATGAAATTGTAAGTATACTAATTAGACGAAGGTACATGTATAATATCAAGAATGAAGATGAAAAACAAAAACTGTCAAGATTGAGATACAATTGATGTACAAGAAGTTTATTTGAGAGAAGATGTAGACGTACAAATTAAAAGTGATTTTAATAGCAATCATACTTAAAAGAAGAAACTGCATTTTATTACGAAAAATTCATGTCAGACAATTTAAACAAGTTGTTTAACTGACTGATTTGAATGATTCTTTCTGTACTTTCATTGGGGTGTAAAATTGTTGACCGAAGCACATTTCGCGCTTCATTATAAAATGTGAGCAAGATTGACGCTTTTACAACCCTATACGATTACAACTAGAGGCTCTAAAGAGCCTGTGTCGCTCACCTTGGCATATGTGCATATTAAACAAAGGACACAGATGGATTCATGACAAAATTGTGTTTTGGTGATGGTGATGTGTTTGTAGATCTTACTTTACTGAACATTCTTGCTGCTTACAATTATCTCTATCTATAATGAACTTGGCCCAGTAGTTACAGTGGAAAATATTTTGTAAAAATTTACAAAAATTTACAAAATTTATGAAAATTGTAAAAAATTGACTATAACGGGCAATAACTCCTTAAGGGGTCAATTGACAATTTTGGTCATGTTGACTTATTTGTAGATCTTACTTTGCTGTACATTATTGCTGTTTACAGTTTATCTCTATCTATAATAATATTCAAGATAATAACCAAAAGCTGCAAAAGTTTCTTAAAATTACCAATTCAGGGGCAGCAACCCAACAACGGGTGTTCAGATTCATTTGAAAATTTCAGAGCAGATAGATCTTGACCTGATAAACAATTTTACCACATGTCAGATTTGCTCTAAATGCTTTGGTTTCAGAGATATAAGCCAAAATCTACATTTTACCCCTATGTTCTATTTATAGCCATGGCGGCCATCTTAGTTGGTTGGCCGGGTCACCGGTCACATTTTTTAAACTAGATACCCCAATGATGATTGTGGCCAAGTTTGGTTTAATTTGGCCAAGTAGTTTCAGAGGAGAAGATTTTTGTAAAGTTAACGACGACGGACGACGACGACGACGGACGACGGACGCCAAGTGATGAGAAAAGCTCACTTGGCCCTTTGTGCCAGGTGAGCTAAAAAGAAGTATTCGATTATCATAATGACATTTAAATGCTACAACCATGGAATAACGTGTGTATAAAATATTTCGTTTGTTTTAATATGCATTGTTGTGGCATGGTCACGGGTATATTTTTACAAATAAAGCATGCACGTATTAAACATAGCTGTTAAATGGACAAAGCAAATGAAGAAACAAAACATGTCGGGCATACAAATGAATCTTTCAATAATCCCATTGTAAAGAAACCAATTCATGTTCACTAATTAATATAAGGTCGTCTTTTAAAAATTAAAATACAGAACAAGTACATTCAAACCAATCATTTTAATACAAAGCTAATTCGAAGTTTAGTAACAAGGAGTATCAAGGTTAAACAATATGTGTGGAATGTCTTTTGAACTTTAAAGAAAAACAATTCTACATTTCGTACATTTTATCTCTAAATTACGATAGTACATGGAATATACAAACTGTCGAATTTCAATCGTCAAATTAAATGTCGATTCCACAAATAGCTTACCCTATTTGGGTTGAAGTGCTCAGGTTAAGTTTTCCTTGATTTTTAAGAATATATTTTGATTACAAGAATATCTTAATATCCCAGACGAAAAAGATTTCTGGGCGTTATGTTAATTTAGAATATGTAACCATAAACTTCCAGTCGAACATGGAAAATGTTTCAATATAGAAAGGGAAATAAAATTAGTTATTTATGTAGTCTAGAAATTAAAGATGAATTCCATTATATTATAAATTGTTCACATTTTAAAGAAGAGAGTAATACCTTAATTTATAAAAACAAAACTGAAAAAAAGACAAAATATTGTATTTTTTACTAAAATTATGTCTTCTACATATGGACATATCTCATAATGTTATGTAAGTTTATAAGAATTTTAAACAAGCGAGTGGGTCCTCCTGAATAAATTGAAATTGTTGCTGCTGTAATATATTGTATTTATGCTAATGTATTTAATGTAATGTTATACATGTCATCTCTACCTATGTATTTGGTGATGAAAATAAAGATATAAATGTGTGTGCTTGTATTCAATTACCAACTGTAAACAACAAATTATATAAAAATAAGAAGATGTGTTTTGATTAACAATGAGACCAACTGACATAGAAGTTTAAAACTAAAGGTCATCGTACGGCCTTCAACAATGAGCAAAACCCATACAGCATAGTCAGTAATAAAAGGCTCCGAAATGACAAATGTAAAACAATTCAAACGGGAAAAACTAACGGCCTGATTTATGTACAAAACAATGAACTAAAAACAAATATGATGTACAGAAATACACGACAACCACTGAATTACTTATTACTGCTTCATAATTTTTTTATTTTTGTATATAAAATAGTAAAACAATCACATCAATTTCATAAGTAACGCAAACTGCAAAACTGTAAATATTTTTTTTGTTGGCAAACATAAGTTTTCATACAGAAATTCAAGATATCAGATATATCTCTTTGGTCTCTCAATATATTTTAAACGATTTAAAACATTCTGCTTTTCAAACTGTTGTTCAAGCATCATTTCACAAATAGGGCAGATAAAAATTTTGATAAAACAGATTAATTTTTTTTTACAATAAAAATTGAGAATGGAAATTAGCAAACAAGAATGAACATGTTTACGCACATATTTTTACATATGAGACACAGGCCCTTGATTCAGATTTTTCTGGGCTTATGTATACCTTTATATGAAGGAATATAGGAAAGAAAAAAATCTGAAACAAGTGCCTGTGATATGAGATTCATTCTTCAACAATCGATTTGACAACTTACATGTTTTAACTCATTTGCAAGGAAACTGAGACAAATTTAGGCTTTAAACATCCCATTGGTGATTTTATCATTCAAAGCGATATTTTTCAATATTCTATATTATTTTACAAGGATATATATTACTACTATATTCTGAAATAATTAGACCCAGAAAAATCTTACGACACAAATTAAAAATAATCAGTTTCCTCAAACAATGCGAATAATTGAAAAAGTATGCTCTCAAAAACAGAAAAAAAAAATTGTTCACATCAAATTGATAACTTTAGAGGATCATAAAAGACAGCTTTGTTGAAAGCTACGTACGCTCCCCTCTGATCCATTTAATTTTTGTTCTTTGAATTTTGTTTACTAGAAAAATGCATCTTGTCGAGGACAAGTGCATTGAAATGAACATTGAATGTCTATCATGCTTAACCTTCTTTTACGTGTTACCGTATTGATTTTTATTTTCAAAAAATAAAATGCATTTCTTGTTCGTGTTACTAATTATTGGTACTTACGTGTATCTAAAATCCATCATCGTTCCTTGTTCATTCATAAATGTTTTGCATTTAAATGTTAAAAATATTTCAAAATCATATATACCTATAGACATAGTTTTGAAATTCAATCTATAGTCATGTCTATTATATTTAACTCACATGACAACGATGAATGAGTTTAAATATTTGTTCTGATTTTTTTTCTTAGAGGACAAAGAGAAACCTAATTTGAATGCAAAAAAAAAAACAATTACAAAAATATTCTGAAAATGGATGACAACATGTTAATGAATTTTGAATGTTTGCATACCTTGCTTTGTGTTACAGTGACATAATTATTCATGTCTGTATACGTAATCCGTATTGTTTTGTATAATTCTTTTATTTTCCACCGTAATTTTTTATACTTTTGTACCCCAATTTCTCCATTCTTTATCTTTTTTGTTCATTTTTCTCTATTCATTATTTTTTGTCTTTATTCTCTATTCTATAAACCCCATCCAGTCCCTTATTAAGGTTGTAATCAATTACCAACTGTAAACAACAAATTATGGCTCTGTTTCATAATTATTTTTTTTATTGAAAATAGTAAAACAATCACGTCAATTTCTGATTACCACAAAACCGTTAATCTTTCGTGACAATAATTACTATTTATATCTCTTTTGTCTCTCGTTATAGAAAAAAATTAAAAGTGTGCATCTAAAAGCCATGATCGTCATTCATAAATGTATTGCTTTTAAATGTTAAAACATTTCAAAATCATATAACTATGGACATAGTTTTGAAATCCAATCTACGGTATGGTCAATCATATATAACTCAAATCTCTGATTTTTTTTTTTTTTTAATTTAAGTATCATTTTACAAACATGACTCATATCGAATTAATTCATTATATAGCCAATACATGCAGTTTACTGAAAAGTAAGTCTATTCAGAGGACATAGAGAAACTTAATTTGAATATAAAAAAAGATTACAAAAATATTCTTAAAAAGGATAAATATCATGTTAACGAATTTTGAATAATTTCCATTATTTTTTCTTTAATTGTCCTTTTTAATTCTATTTTCATTCTGGCACCACTTTTGTAGACGAAACGCACGTCTGGCATACCAAATGTTAATTCTGGTTTCTATGATGAGTTTATTTCAGATCTTTTTTGTATTACAATGACACAATTATTCGTATGGTACGAGTCCAAAGGAATACAAGTCATCCTTCTCGGAAATAACATTTTGAATTATTTTCTCTCATTCCTAAATGCCAGAAAAACATAATCAATATCAAAGCCATGTAACAGGTTTATTTAGACTGGGACTAGCGGGCGTGCTCTCCCAAAAATCGGAAAAAAATATTTTGAATAAAAAAGCATAATTTTTCTTGAATTAATTTCGATTACAACCCCCTAACCTAAAATCCTGGATCCGCTCTAGAACATTTTTAAGTCGACGGTTTGACATAGCCGGTGCATTGCTCCCGAATTCTCGTTCCCACGAGATTACTATATATGACGTTATATTGGTTTTCTTGTAAAACTTCAAAACCATATCCCAAGCATAGAAAAAAAAAAGGTTTCTAAACAGTTTGAATAAGTTCGTAACATATATATAAGGACACAGGCTTATTCGGGACTGGAGTTCAAATGCACTAGTTTTTACCTGACATATCTTTACCTAAAATAATTTGCTAATATCGTCATTGAATAAACAAAGGATCAATCAATCCAATTATCATCTGAATCTTTGTTATAAACATTTAACAAGTAATTGATGAACTATTGACATGATTGACCTGACATTTAACCCTCTGGTTAATTAAATATGTTGTTGTGGGATTCCAAATTACTATAAATAACTTCAAATCCTTTTTCTTACTAACTTTACCGTCAGGGTTGATTTTAAATTTTCGGAACATTTCACACAGACCACGCTATTCAAAAGTATGTTAAAATCACAGGCGCTTGTGGAATGACCCCATTTTAATTAATTGTTTTTGTGTTTCAATTTTCTAAGTAAATAATTTGAAATATTCTTGCTCTTATATCAACTCGGTATTACCACACCAGTTGTAAACATATGCATGTCCCTCTATTCTTGCTGCAGCATTTATAAACCATGAAAGAAAAGGACACAGATACTCCTAGTTTTAACTATTGACTTTTGACAAACAACGGACAGATACTTAAGTCTCCGTTAAACTATGGACCATGGGAGACGAACAGACATATACTCCTAGCTTTAACTATGGACGAACAACAGACAGATACATAAGTCTAGATTTAACTATGAACTATGGAAGAAGAACAGACATATACTCCTAGGTTTTACTATGGACTATGGATGAAGAACAGAGGTGGTCCTAGTTTTAACTACGGACTGTGCAACAAGAACAGAAGGATACTCTAAAGATTTAACAACGGACTATGTGAGATGAACAGATAGATAGTCCTTGCTTTAACTACAGACTATGGGAGACGAACAGACATATACTCCTAGATTTAACTATGGACTATGGACGAACAACAGACAGATACATAAGTCTAGGTTTAACTATGGACTATGGAAGAAGAACAGACATATACTCCTAAGTTTTACTATGGACTATGGATGAAGAACAGAGGTGGTCCTAGTTTTAACTACGGACTATGCAACAAGAACAGAAGGATACTCTAAAGATTTAACAACGGACTATGTGAGATGAACAGATAGATAGTACTTGCTTTAACTACAGACTATGGGTGACGAACAGACAGATACTCCTAGCTTTAACTATGGACTATAGACGAACAACAGACAGCTACATAAGTCTAGGTTTGACTATGGACTATGGGAGATGAAAAGACAGATACTCCTAGGTTTAACTATGGACTATGGGTGAAGAACTGACAGATGCTACTAGCTTTAACTACGGACTATGCAACAAGAACAGACACATACTCTAAAGGTTTAACAACAGACTATATGAGAGGAACAGACAGACACTCCTAGTTTTAACTATGGCGTATGGAAGAAGAACTGACAGGTACTCCTAAAGTTAAACTACGGACATTACATGAAGAACAGACAGATAATTGAAATAGTTGGATCACATCAAATTGATACCTATAGATGATCATAGAAGACGACTTGGTTGAAATTGTTTATTTATAAGAATAACATATTTTTGTTCGTATTACTAATTATTGCTACTTACGTCCATCTAAAAGCCATGATCGTTCCTTGTTCATTCATAAATGTTTTGCATTTAAATGTTAAAAATATTTCAGAATCATGTAACTATAGACATAGTTTAAAAAATCAATCTACGGTATGGTCAGTTATGTATAACTTACGCGACATCTATAAATGAATTTAAATCTTTATTTTTTGTTTCATTTCAAGCTTCATTACACAAACCTGACCGAGATTAAACTGAAACTAAATCTATAATCAATACATGCAGTTAAGATAAACTTCTTTTTCGTATTACTTATCATTACAGTAACTACTATATACTTACGGGTATTTAAAAGTCATGATCGTTCCTTGTTCATTCATAAATGTTTTCCATTTAAAGGTTAAAAATATTTCAAAATAATGTAACCATAGACATAGTTTTGAAACCCAATCTACGTTATGGTCAATTATGTTTAACTCACGTGAAACAATGAAAGAATTTAAATCTTTGGTTTTTTTCTAATTTCAGGTATCATAACACAAACATGACTCAGATAAAACTATTGATTCTATAATCAATGCATTCAGTTTTCTGCAAAAAGATGTGTATTCAGAAGGCATGGAGAAACTTAACTTGAATGCAAGAAAAAAAGAAAATTACAAAAATATACTTTTATGCCAACACGTTAATGAATTTTGAAATATTTGTATACCTTGCTTTGTGTTACAGTGACATGATTCAGGTAATGACTCATATGGTACAAGTCCAGAAGAATACAAGTCACCCTTCTCGGACATAACATTTTAAATCGTTTTCTCTTATTCCTCAATGCGAAAAAAAAACAACATCAAAGCCATGCAGGAGATGGATTAAGACTGGGACTAGCGTTATATTGGTTGTCTGGTAAAACGTTATGCTAGAACTCCAAAACCATAGTCCAAGCAACAACAAAAATGAGTCCTAAACAGTTTGAATAAGTTCATGTATATGGACACCTGCTTATTCAGGACTGCAGTTCAAATGCACTAGTTTTTTCTTTATATATATTTGCCTAAAATATTGATAACCGTCATTGAGTTAACAAATGATCACAATCAATATATCTACTGAATCTTTAATATAAACATTTAAAAATATACCACGGACAAAGAATTTTAAAAACCTTGTTGTAACTAAGTAAAATTTAACTTCAAGGTTGATTTTGAAATTTTGAAACATTTCACACAGTAGCCTCTTGTCAAAAGGCTGTTACACTTTTCATTACAGGCGCTTGTGGAATTACCCCTATTTTACTATTTTCTTTTTGTGTTTAAATTTTCTAAGTAAATATCTTTTTTAATATTTTAAATTATTTTCGCTTATTTGAAGTGTTCTTGTTTTATATCCATGCGACAATTGTTAATTTATGCTGTCCCTCTATTCTTTTGGCAGCATATATAAACTATGCAAGAAGAGCAGACATAGACTCCTATCATTAACAACGGAGTATAAAAGAAGGACAGGTAAATACTCATAGTTTTAACTAAGGACTAGGCTGGAAGAACATATAACATATATACTAGCTGTAACTACGGACTATGCAAGAACGGACAAATAGTCCAAAGGTTAAACTACGGTCTATGTGAGTTGAACAGACACATACTCATAGCTTTTACTACAAACCATACACGAACAACAGACATATACCCTAACTTTAACTACGGACTATGGAAAAGAACAGACAGCTACTCCTTACTTTAACTACGGACTATTGAAAAAGAACAGTGAGATAATCCTAGCTTTTACTACGGACTATGGACGAAGAACAGATAGATACTCCTAGCTTCCACTACGGACGATAGACGAAGAACAGACATAGACTCCTTGCTTATACTACGGACAATGGACGAAGAACAGACAATCCTAGCTTTCACTACGGACTATGGAGGAAGAACAGGCAGA